AGAGAGAGAGAGAGAGAGAGAGAGAGATTTTGGATAAACGGACTATAGTACTAGTTGCAGCTTCATAAACGACCTAATTTTAGCCTGGATAAATGAAGCGGTAAATGATAAGATTTCATAAGATCATTTTTTTGATTGAGTGAGTTCAGAAGACCTTTTTTTTTTTAATTGAGTGACCTGTTGTTGCTTACTCTATATTAGGACGATTAATTTATTATTAATTGAGTACTTATGAGAAGGATCTTTTGGCTGATTTGTACTTTCCATCTATTTTGTTGCATCGCAATTTGTTGATTATTGGTTCCATTAAGCAGACAGATGGAACAATGCCATGCTCATAGCTCACACACCATTAAAAAAAAAATGATGTTCTGAACTCTACCATTTTCCCCATTAAGGAGAAGATCACACAATGCCATAGCTCACCCCATTAAAAACAAAAAATGATCTTCTGAACTCTACCATTTACCCCATTAAGGAGAGGATGACACAATAGCATGCTCATAGCTCACCCCATTAAAAAAAAAAAGAAGGAAAGAAGAATAGTAGAATGTAATGTTCTTCCCCTAGGAAGGAGTAAATTTTGAAGGGTTTTAAGCTGAATTCCATTTGAGATATATGGACCACATACGAGCTCATTTTTCTGATAAAGAATCATTATTTTTGTGATTCATATCATAATCAAAAGATGCTTTCCCTTTTGGTGTACCAAGAACTCCCAATAGACAGTGAAAAGGAAGTACAATGTTGTTCATTTAATAACTTTATCGTGTTCAGACTCTCACCATGGTTCAGATTCTTAGAGCAGGAAGTTGAGGCAAAGATTCATAAAAGTCTTTCTTATAAGTTTGGCCCTTTTAATATTCATACACGTTTGAGGCTGCCTCATTCTCGTATTTGGTTATTAAATGAGCAGTATTCCCCTTTTTTTCACAGATTGTGAAGGAAACATGGGTGAATTGTGGCGGGCGTGTAAAGGATACTACTCTTTACACTGGTGCTCTCGGGACTGCATACTTGTTATTCAAAGCTTACCAGGTTACGAATAACAAGGATGATCTTTCCTTGTGCACAGAGATCATTGCAAGTTGTGATGTTTCATCAAGGGGAATGAGGGAGTTGAGTTTCTTTTTTATTGCTTTCCACGTCATGTCATTCTTGCCATGGGTTCTTCATTAACTTGTGATCAGCTGCTTGTTTCTATGTTTTTACAGAGATGTGACCTTTATCTGTGGCCAAGCTGGTATTTATGCTCTTGGTGCAGTTGCAGCAAAGTGCATTGGTGACCAATCACTTCTAGACCGCTATCTAAGCCTATTCAGAAAGGTAATTTCTAGAGTATTGTATGAAATTTTTGGCCGGAATTTTCTAAGATGTGATTAGGGAAGGGCTGATTTGGGCTCGGATGTGCCCGAGTTAGTTAGCTGGACCTGTCAGGGTGCCTGGTCTGGATTTTTAAATCGAGACATGGCTAGTTGGCCTTTGAGGGCTTGGCACCCTGGCTGATCAGGCCTGGCACCCTGGCCAGTCAAAAGTGTCAGCCCTCTTTTTTCTTTTTAATGTTGACTTGGGACCTTGGTAGAGCCTGTCTTTTTAAACACTGGTTCAAGGTAAGGGTTTAGTGATTGCCTTTTCTATTCCTAGTGGATTTGATGGGGGTAATCTGATCGGCATTGTCTGGTGGATTTGATGGGGGTAATCTGATTGGCGTTGTCTGGTGGATTTGATGGGGGTAATCTGATTGGCATTGTCTGGTGGATTTGATGGGGGTAATCTGATCGGCATTGTTATTTTTCTTTTCTTAATACATTCAAATCAATAGAACGTCGACGTTTTGAATGCATTAGGATTCTACTTTCTTATGCAAGAAGTTCTTTACTGCGTCTTCTCTGTTTTTTAAATTGTTGGCTCTGTGTTCTCATTGTCATTAACAATGTGTAGCTTTTCCTTCATTTTGGTATGCAGATCCCAAAACGTATAGAGAGCTATGACATTCCATATGAGCTGTTGTATGGAAGAAGTGGGTTCTTGTGGGCTTGCGCTTTCTTGAACCAACACATTGGTCCTGGAACAATTTCTTCTGATGTTACTGTAAGGGATTATTTCTCTGTTCTCTTGTTGATCATACTTGGGAAGTCTGTCTTCCGCATATAATTTGTGTTTGGAGATCGTAGTTGCGTCAATTTGACCATAGTGAGTCAAGAAATGTCCCAGATTGGCGTTAGCTTTTTTGTTAGGTCATAATTAATGTGTGTATGTGAAAAAAAGACTAATGTGATCTTGCTGGGGGATATATTTTTTATTTTTTTATTTTTTTCTTTTTTTCCACCCTTTTTTTTTTTCGTTTTCATTTTCTTTTGGTAAAGGTCACTTACAAGTAGTCTTATTACAATAACTTTTGCGTCAAAGAAAATAAAACTAGCAAATCTAAGATCTTAAAAACCTTGATGCCACTAAACCAATTTTCTTTAAATAAAGAAAATAACCACAATTCTTGTGCTTGGAAATATAAAGACAATATAATTAAATATGACAAGAAACAAAAAGAGAGTGTCGCAGATTACCTCAACCAAGTTTATTACATCCCCACACCGAGTCACCACCATTCGATGGCGCGGGATCAACGATCAACTTTCAATCTTAATCGAGAAAGCAAGTTTAGGCCAAATCCTCTAATGGAACTATGAACTCCTTTATTACAAATCTCAAACTATTAGGTGAATCCCCTTAGCAACCTAGTTTGAGAGAGATGCTTTTTTTTTCTACCACAATCCTATAGTCCAAAACCCCAAAGAGAGATGAGAGATGATGAGAGAGTTGAGAGAACCACCCTGAGAGAAATATCAAAGATGAGAGAGTGGGGGGTGCCCCTTTGGGTCTCTTGAGGGGGAGAGAGAGATACTTTCTTAAGAGAGATATATATTCTAAGTGGGGCGTGCCCTTTTTGTGGGATCTGAGAGAGATGGAAATTAGGTGTAAGAGATAAGGTGTAGAGATTTGGGTAGGGATCAATCCATTTTTATAGTACTTGAACAAGATTAGGGTTTCTTAGGGTTTTCTTTAGCTTGTCTCTTTTTGTGAGATTGAATATGAACCATTGATCTTGGGTGACTTGTGGGGTGAGAGATTTGCGCCCTCTATTCCATAGATGGGCCATCAACATCATGGAATATGCTAGAATTTTTATCCCCCATTCTTAAACCATTTTCCCATCAATAGAAATTAAATAAAATAATTTTATTCATAAGATAGTGGTTACCAAAATTATGCACAAGCCTTCTCATGCTTTCCAAAAGTCCTTTGAAAGCTTTCTCAAGGCAAAATCCTTCCAAAGCACTTCAGAGTTTTCTCTTCAAGCCAAAGGTTGAACTAACACAATGAAAGTTTCATTAGGGTGGGGCGTGCCACCCTAGGTGGTACTTCATGGGCCCCACCCACATGCAATGGTGGGCCCATTAACATATTAGGCCTCCCATGCAATATTAAAATTATTAAAATTAATTATATGATTTTTAGAAATTTATAAAATCAAATTTGAATATTTAAATCAATCTAAAATCAATATCTATGTTTTATAAATCCAATTTTGATAAATAAAAAGATCCAAAGATTTAAAAAAATTCAAATAACAATTCTAAAAATCATATATCATTAATACTCTCATAATTAAATTCATTAGATGGCAAAATGATCCATATAGTCTAGGAATTAGATAAATAGACACTAGGGTACTCCACCTTCAACTGTGGACTACGATTCATACTAGCTTTATCAAACCGACCCAGTATTTTTCATGACCCACATTCTATGCATGGGCTCATTAGTGGGTCACCAAAGTCTGGCCGATGAGTCAAGGGGTCGTAATCCCAATTTGTGGATTTCAGGTTTTCCCCTAGAGACGTACCAATGTCATCTAGACCTGATGCGACCACAACTCATATGACGCATAGAGGTATCTCTCGCACATGCATAAGCTTCAACCTGAAAGGTGGTTCGCTTTACCGAAATGACTATCATACATGCATGACGTGTGATGGCTCGCGAATGAGGCTTTGGCCCCCATCTCCAAAGGCCACCATCACACACAAGGGTCACACAGTCCCTCGGCTTACTCATCTGGGCATACTTCAACCTTATCAACGGATGACCTATTAGAATCCTTATTGGATAATTTTCTATGCCCAGGTAATATAGGTTTTTCCCAACCGACTGGAGTAGTTCGTCAAGCTCAGTCCAGTATCAACAAACATCGTTTGCTTAATATGGTCCACATATAACCACACTCCCACTGAGTTCATGTTCCATTATATAAAAATGTTTATTACAAGAACTCACGAGACCTTTAATGGCCACACTCACCCAATGGTATGGTTGTTGGCACTTATGCGTGTAGGCCTCTAGGCACATATAAATTATTAGGGGAAATTATCGAAATACACCAAACTTCTCAACTATTAACATTTTACCCTTTTTCAACTATCCAAAGTCATGATCATGTGTATTTTGATAGGCTTTTTGAAATTTCATCAAAGACATGCGTAAAATATTAAATAATTCATCTCTTAGTGCAGTTTGATGGATTTTCTTAAATTATATGTGTGGAGATGTAGAAAGCTCGCCTATATTCATAGCTCTTTATTGATCAGTCATCTGAGTGAAGAAAGCTAATGAATATTAAATTTTATAGGCTCCCATTGTGAAGGATATTTTTAAAGAAGGTAGGCGTTTATCTCATGGAGGCTGCCCACTGGTTTATGTATGGCATGGGAAAAAGTATTGGGGTGCTGCGCATGGTCTGGCAGGTATCATGCATGTGTTGATGCACTTTGAATTGAGCGCGCGAGAGGAGGAGGATGTTAAAGGTACTCTTCGATATATGATGCAAAACCGCTTTCCCAGCGGAAACTATCCTTCGAGTGAAGGGAGCACCACTGATAGGCTGGTGCATTGGTGTCATGGCGCTCCTGGTGTCGCTCTTACCATGTGCAGGGCTGTTCAGGTTATATCCAACTCCCTCCCCTTCCTCTTCCGTTTCTCTATTAGTGTCATGATGCTTCTGATCATTGTTTGTCTAATGCGTTGGATCCAACTGTTGCAATGACTATAGCACAGCCAAGATGGTTATTTAACTAGGGCACAAAATCAACAGTGCAAATTTTGGCAAAATCATTTTCAGTTCTAAAAACATTTTTGGCTGAATTTTGGTTTCTGTTTTCAAGAGTTGGTTCTGATGACAAAGATAGGGAGTACTGTTTATGATTTGTTTTCATTAGAGAAGAGCTCAGTAACAGAAAGTGTCCATTTGAAGAAGGCTGGTGGATAATGGCCCCATAAATTTATTGGACCATTGAGATCTGATTTTGAAAAAGTAAGTTTTTTAAGTATTATCCAAGGCTGAATCGCTTTTTTCTTTAGATGATTATTTTAAAAAATAAAAAAAATAAAAGAAGAAGAAGAAGAAGAAGGCTGTGGTAGCTTATTTGTGCTTTTCGTATCCAAAAATTGGCACTGCATGGATACCTCAGTGATGCTCATTTTATTACGACTTGGAACGTGTTGTAGTCATGAGGGACAGTTCTTAAAATTTTTTGATAGATCGGTATCCTGTAGATGATGGTGTGCTACACTAAGTTAAGCCAGTCACATTGGTATAAGGAATGCATAATCAATGGGTTCTGTTCCCACCTATATCCACCAGTAGAAAAAACAAACATCATCAGATCAGTTCTTAAAACGATGTGCTCACCAGGGTCCCCACTCCAAGTTAAAGTGCTGATCTGAGCTGGTGATTCTTGAAATATGGAACCTTTTAACTCTAAAGTCCTCTTTTTATGTTTTGAACACAATTCAGGCTTTTGGTGACAAAGAATTTATGGATGCTGCGGTGGATGCTACGGATGTGGTGTGGAAGCGGGGTCTGCTACGACGCGTCGGAATATGCCATGGTGTGAGCGGGAATGCATACGTGTTTCTCGCATTGTATCGGTTACTGGGCAAGGAGGAGTACCTCTACAAGGCAAAGGCATTTGCATGCTTCTTACTTGACTGTGGGGGTAGATTGATTTCATCAGGGGAGATGCATGGTGGGGATCGGTCCCTTTCGCTCTTTGAAGGGATGGCTGGAACCGCACACCTGTTCCTCGACATGACCAAGCCTTCTGATTCTAGATTCCCAGCATATGAGCTTTTTTAGGCTGAGCATAACAAAATAATCCGAAAATGCTTTGTAGAGAAAACTCATAGTCATGAGGTTGGAAACTTGATCTTAGGCTGTATGGTAGTGCCTTCCTAATGTTGTTATATGTTAATCTGGTCTCTATAATTATACAGACAAATATATTAATCTTGTATATGTGATCGTACACCAATTTGTATGTGTGTGAATATGTGTAGGTAGGAGTGGTTTTACCTTGACTTATTATTGTGTCAGCACGTGTCTGCGTGTCGATATCTATAAATTAAAAACAATATAAATATTACTTATAGAGATCAAACTTTGAGATTTTGTTCCATAAAAATTTGAAAGTAATATGTATTTTGTGGAGCTTGAATTTTGAAACGGTTTGACATAAAGGCTTTCACTCATCGCCTCAAGTATGTAAAAAAATAAGAGAAAAATGATAAATCTAATAGTTTGTTGAAAATGGTCAAATATATTTTTGCATTATTGTCATTTTACGTAAAATATTGGATGCTTTGGACTTGTAGAGGTGGCAATAGGTCGGGTCCAAATTATATATATATATATATATATATATATATATAGAGAGAGAGATGCTAGGGTGAGTCCACTAGTTCACGGGAAAAAATGAGCTCAAAGGTTCGAATTAAATGTGGGTCAATCTGATGATCATGGATGGATGTCCGATAGTGTTTGAATTTTAATTTTTTTTTTTTACAAATTTAAATCATTTGAAATGTGATGCGTGTGAACATAAAAAATAGGAGAATTTTTAAAAAATATCAAAAAAATATTTTACAGAAATTGACCAAAATTCTCAAGTGTGGCTTGATGAGAAGAGCACACGTTTAAAATTTCAAATGATTTGGATTTATAGAAAAAAATTAAAATTCAAAGACTGCTAAACATCCGTATTCATCAAATCGGTCCAGATTCAATTTGGGCCGTTGAGTTTATACTATTTCATGTGCTAGTGGGTTCACCCAAGTTTTTTCTATATATATATATATATATATATATGTGTGTGTGTGTGTGTGTGTGTTTGTGTGTATGTATGTGTGTGACCTGGACCCAATCCGTCATGTCAAATTCTTAGACCCAAACTCAGACCTTGGTCAAGTTGACCTTTCGAGTCCTAAGTCGGATCTTGATCCGGGTCCATTGCCGACATGTGAAAATATATGGGACTTGGACCCAATCCGTCAAGTCAAATTTTTGGACCCATACCCGAACCTTGGTCGGGTTGACTTTTCGGGTCCCAAGTCGATTTTAAAGAATCGATTTGTGTCCAAAAGTATTTAGAAATTTTTCAAAAAGGATAAAAAAAATGTAAAAATAAGTATTAATGACCAAAACAATTTTCAATCTTTATTAAAAGATAAACATTAAAAAATACATTACAAACAAATTCTCTAAATTTTTATTTTTTTTATATAATTTTTTCAAATTTGTTTTAACTACCTGGCCGGTTCACCAAAACCGGTTGAAATGTCAATAACTGGTTTCGATTTAATCGGGCGGTAAGAATTTGAACCCTCAATTTTTCCTATACTGTTTGAGATAGTCTACAAAGGGACCATTTATCTTTTATCAATAGAGCTCACAATCATTCTCACTCATGAGATGTGCTTTGGGGTTAGCCACAAAGTCTCGAGAATTTTTTTTTAAAACATATTGTATCCATTCAATAACACTTTTACAACCATCAATTTTAAAATTTAAGAAACAAAAATAATTGTGATCTCCACATACAAAAGAACAATGGCTTCTATGAAGAAAATCCCATTTGATTTACCTATCAAGACTTAAGTATCTTGACCTCATCCTTTAATGGTAAGAGAAACTGACCACCAGCATTTGGATAATATGTTACAGCTCACAATTGGTACAAATCCACTGCAATCTCACTGCAGGGCTAGAGAGAGACGTTTTTTTTTTTTACAGAATCATGAATTTGTAGCAGCAACAACTTTGTATCTACAATGGAAATAACTCGATGACAATGGCAAGAAATGTCTATCAAGTTTGCACTCCTGTTCATGAAAAAACTCTTTCGCCTGTTCATAATATAAGCTTGGGGCATGGTTGAATACGAAAAGGTCCCAAACCAGATTTAGCAAAGAGAGTTCAGGTAATGGAACAGGGCGAATCCCACCTGTGAAAGTAAACGAGCACACGACTAAGTTTAATGAAATAGTGCCATTTATTATGATGACGAAGATAAATACTAAATCATTGTAAAGAAGTACACATTTGAATATAGTTACAAGTATATACCAATATCAGATGACCACTTGAGACCCCAATAATAACCAGACTCCAATGAAATTGCATCATACTCTCGAAGATCACAGCTAGCATTCACACAAACTGCCTGTGTAAATCATCCAATTACAAAACCAAATTCTGATATTTTGACATTTCCCTTATCCAAAACCACCAATACCATCTTGGGAGTGAAGGAAATGCAGCCTCTGTATCTAGCAAAATACATCCATAACAAATCTCTATAAATTCTTTGCAAGGGAAATCTTCATTCCCTAATAAGAATAAAATTCCAACAAAATCTACTCACAAACCTTTCCACTTGAAGACTTGACTATGATAGAAACACAGAGAGAAGCCAGAAAGAAGCCCATGAATTTTCTGCTTAAACCAAAAAAGAATAAAGATTTATATTCTCTCTCTTGTGCATCATAAATCACCTTAATGACATACAGAAATGAAGCTATAAAACCCTATAGAAAGAATAATATCAATCAATAATACTTGTTTAACTTTTGTTTTTGAAATTCTAAGATGGAAACAAGATTGGCAAAACCATGATCGATTGTCACATCTTTCAAAAAGTTTCTTTAAACTGAAGTGGATCATACATGAAAATGAACAGCACATAAATATCTAAAAACAATATCATCTACTAATATGGAAAGGACAAACCTTACAATAACGCAACCATGAGGGCATGTTTCCAACTATGGAAAATTGCATTTTATGTCCATGGAGACTCAACTGCTGCTGAGACAATAGCTCTGCTAGAACGCATAAAGAGATACATTTTGCAGGGGAGATCGAGTCGTCTACAGCCACATCTCCAGGGAGGCCAATGCAGTGGCTGATCATTATGAACAACTAGGAGCAGCAGCTTCAACACCAAGCGGTTACATGAGACAATCTCTTCTTTTCTCTTCTTCCATCTCTCTCTCTCTCTCTCTCTCTCTCTCTCTCTCTCTCTCTCTCTCTCTCTCTCTCTCTCTCTCTCTCTCTCTCTCTCTCTCTCTCTCTCTCTCTCTCTCTCTCTCTCTCTCTCT